GGCACACTATATATTTTCTGTCTCTCTCTCCTTCTCCCGCTCCTTTGTTTAGTCACTCTCATTCAGTGCCGTTAAATGCTGCGTGTGACTACATGAAGTGTGTGTGTGTGTACAGCCTGCTCTGCTGCAGTGTGTTGGTCATGTGATCAGGATAGCTATCACAAGGCACTAACGTTCCTTTGCACCCCTCCACCCCCCCTCTTCTCTCCCTCTCTCTTCTATCATTTCTCCATCCTCTCTTTACCCTCTTTCATTTTATTTTTACCTCCTAATCGTTTTTCTCTTTAATCTCCCGTTTTTCGGCTTCTGTTTCTCATCTCCAAATCCCTTCTCCTTGTCCTCCTCTGAGTCGCTCCTCACCACCTCCGCTCTTATCTCCCTTTTCCATTTTTATTACTTTTATTCTCTTACCGTCCGTTTCTCTCAACCCCCCCCCATGCTCCTCCTACTTCCTCACCATCATTAATCTTCTCTCCTTCACCCCACCTCCTCACTCTCTCTCAACTTTCCCCCTCCATCTCCTCCCCTTGTCTCTTCTCCTCTCTCATCCTCTCCTCCCACCCCCTCTCCCTGTCTCCTCTCTTCCCCCAAACCTCTACTCCCTTCTCCTCTCATGTTTCCTCTTCTCTTTTCCCCTTTCCTTTCCATTTCTCCTCCCCTCTCCTCTCCTTTTTCTTGCACTCCTCTCCATCTCTTCTTTCCTCTCCTCTTTACCTTTACCTTCTCACATACGACTTTTCCTTCCTCTCTCCCTGCACCATTTCTCCATTTCCCTCCTTCTCTTCTGTTGCTTTCTCCGCTCTGTCCTCAACCTTGATACTTTTCCTTTCATTTCTACCACTCTATTTTTTCTTTTTTCTCTATCTCTCCCAGACTCCAAGCAGAATGGTGACGCAGCGGCCAACGCGGCGGCCCTGGCCAACGAGGACTGCCCCACCATCGACCAGGTCCTTGGGGACGAGCGTAGCCCGGCCACTGGGGGCCTCGGCTCCACCACCAGCCGCGAGC